ATAAATACCTGACTTGTAAATATAACAAGTACCCAAACTCAGCAGCATTTTACTTCTGCTCTTCCCACCTACCCCTATTCTTTCTGACAACAAAAGTACAGAAAACACTTTTCTCAGCTTTCTTCTCCTTGATGGGGATTTCATACCCTCTCTTCCCTCTTTCTCTGATTATGACTCGCTTGTCTCTTCACCATTCTTGTTCTTCTAACTCTTCTCCAGGTAACTCACAAAATTGTCATTCCCACCACCATAAAAATACTATTTATGGACAATAAAATCAATATCAACAAATCTCACCCTATAATGCAGGCTTTGACCAAGGAATAGATTAAGGCCCTTATGTAGTTTAAAATGAGTTCAGATCAGATATAATCAAAATCAATGTCATCCTTTCTCATATTTTCTTGAGGAAAGAATGACATTGGGGGGCACTATATGATGACAGCTATTCAAATTTAAAATGAACATAACTTTTGGTGTAGCAAGTTAACGTTTAGGAATGTATCATATGGATTTACTCTATGATTCAGACATATCAGTACACTAAGATACAAACATATTGATAATAATCATAGTATTGTTTAACATAGTAAACAAAGATGGAAAAAAAAGACAATGATCTAAAAATTATATATTCATGAAATGAATACTATGTATCTGTTAAAAGGAATAAGCTGATATTCAGAAGCTGATCTAGACAGATGTCTCTACTCTGCTGTAAAGTGAAAAAAGCAAGTTACAGAACATGTCCTCTAAGGAGAATCCATGGCTTCTCTCTATTTTTATTCCCACTCCTCCCCATACCACCTCAGCAGTCATATTTAAACAGATCAGTTAGGACTAAATTTTTCTCCAAGAAAGACGAGAAAAAGAGAAGCAGAAAGGAAGGAAAGAGGAAGAAACAGAAGAGCCCATGTGAACAGTTGTGAGGGGAAGAGAGTTCAGCGTGAGGGTATGAGAATACTAAGAAAACAGAGTAAGAAGAATGGGAAAAATTTAAGGAAATAATCTGTGTATTATAAATGAAACCCATGTTCATGGTTTTTTGAGACACTCTGGCAAATGATGGGATCACTGATTTACATATACTCTCTCTGACACCATGCTAAGATTGAGTCATGTGGGGCACTGGAATATATTCAAACTGGCCACTCTCACACAGTTTTTAGCAAAGAAACTTCTAGATATGATTATCTTTAGGGAGTCGGACAAGAGTTTGGAAGAGGAGGCTGATTTTTTATTCCTGTCCTCTTAAAAATGTCCTTTCCTAGAAGTATATAATGTTCTCACAACAAAAATTAACTTAATAGAACATGTGTGAATATACTGAAAGTCTCCTTCAAAGCCTGAAAAAACCTCCATAGCCTTATCATTCATAGAAATACCCGATCATAAGGACTATCCTATATTCCTTATTATTCTCTGGTTCCCACAGAAAAATCAAGTTTAATTAGTATTCAACATAGTAGAAAATGTTAAAATAACGTGTTCAATTTTGGTTTTGTTTTGTTATTTCTCTCCTTTTTAAAAAATGTAGAAGCCGGGCTTGGTGGCTCAGCCTGTAATCCCGCGCCTTTGGGAGGCT